TGCCTACATAAGTGGGAGAGAGAGAATCCTAAGCAGGCTCTGCTCTGTCAGTGCTGAGCCCAATGTGGGGCTCGATCTTATAAACCACGAGATCATGACCTGAGCCGAGTTCAAAGTCAGATGCTTAACTGACTGAGCCACCCAGGCACCCCTCCAGATTAACCATTTGTTAAAAATGTTTATTTATTTATTTTTGAGGGAGAGAGAGAGAGAGAGAGAGAGAGAGAGAGAGAAAGCATGTGCACATGTGTGCTAGCATGAGCAGGGGAGGGGCAGTGAGAGGAGAGAGAGAGTCCCAAGCAGGCTCCACACTGTCAGCACAGGGTCCAACGCAGGGCTCAAACGCACAAACCATGAGATCATGACCTGAGCTGAAACCAAGAGTCAGACACTTAACTGACTGAGCCACCCAGGCACCCCTCCAGAGTAACTGTTTTAATGTGAACAGCTGACTCAGCCCTAAGGCCTAGGCCTGGGAGTTACATTTGCCTAACCACCTGAGAATCACTCATTAGAATGATCTAGAAGACTGAAAGTCAGAAGACTTTGGTCTTTGCCTTAACCACCCCCGTACCCTCCTACCCTCCCACCCTGCCTTGCCCAGGGGACTTAACCGTATGTCATGTTCCTGGTGTATGTCAGCTCCTATCTCTAGAAGAACCACTCATTATTCCAGCCCTAGAACCATTTTTAGATCCTTCTAGAAATCGAATTCCATGACTGATGTATGTACTAGAGTAGATATGAAATATGGATACATATCATACTAAGCTTAACAACTAAAAATAAGTATCTAGAAAAGCATGGATTCCGTCACTCAGCTCCTGGATGGTGAAGGCTGACAGAATGAAAGTTCCAGAGATCCTGTGAGCAGGGCCAGAGCCTAGGGGGTTGGGGGGGGCACTTCTGTGCCTTCTGTTAGGTCCATTATTTCAGAAAGTAGTTATCAGGTTTGAATGTGTTCCAGATATGAGAGGCCCCACAAGAGCAGTAAAAAGTCTTTGAAGGAAAAAAGACATTGGAAGGCTGGGGCCCAACAAGTCACAGCTCAGATCCCAGGAGGAAGAAAGACACAGGATGGGGCCTCCATCCAGGAAGGAAGCATGGTGCCTGCAGGTCCCGAGGATGGGAGGCTTCCGAGGTCAAGAGAGGGAATGGAAAAGGAGCCCACCTGGGGAGGGCAGGACAGGTTGTGTGCAAACATGGGAGTTACCGGTTACCCACGGCTTTTCCTGCCTCCAACGGCTGTGTCGTTCAGTCACCCAGCCCGTGAGACTCTTTTGCAGCGCCCTCCCCCTTCACCTGCTGCCCTGGAGTCCATGAGTATGTTCTGTCCGTTGACTTTGGTGTCTCTTTTTCACCGGATTGGTTTTTCCTCAAGCAGCCGGTGTTGCCTGGTGGTGGGTTCACGGTCACACTCAAGAGTTCGCCTTGGCCTGCAGCTGAACGAGGTAGCCCCCCTCCCGTGGGAGGCAGGGAGGAGGGGGCACATCAGCTTGAGGGACTCCCCCTTTTTCGGGGAACTTGCTTCTCAAGCAGATAGGGGTCCTCACTCACCAGCCCACCCAGGCGCTCCTCAACCAGTCACAGCACCGGCCCCCAGCCGCCTCTCCGTTTGCACATCTCTGCCCTCCCCCTGGCCTATTAGCAGTATCACTGCTTGCTGTCCTCTCATCCCATCCCTGCCTGCCTTCTGGTTTCTGAGGATTTTTTTTTTAATTTTTTTTCCACGTTTTTATTTATTTTTGGGACAGAGAGAGACAGAGCATGAACGGGGGAGGGGCAGAGAGAGAGGGAGACACAGACCCCGACGCGGGGCTCGAACTCACGGACCGCGAGATCGTGACCTGGCTGAAGTCGGACGCTTAACCGACTGCGCCACCCAGGCGCCCCTGGTTTCTGAGGATTTGACAGCATGTCTGGATCATTAAGAGCGGCCCTTCTGGGTCTCCTGTGCCCTCACGATTTTAAGACTGTCTTTTCTAGAAGGTTTAGGGATTTGTGAGCGGGCAGGGAGATGAGGCATACGTTCTGGCACCTGTCAGAATGGCCAGTAGCAGAAAGACAAGAACTAACAAGGGCCGGTGAGGGTGTGGAGGAAAAGGAACCCACGTGTACCGTTGGTGGGAATGCCAGTTGGTGTAGCCACTAGGGAACCCAGTATGGAGGTTCCTCCACAAACTAAAAGTAGAATTGCCGTATGATCCAGCCATTCTGCCACTGGATATTTATCTGAAGGAGAGGAAAAGTATCTGCAAAAGATACCATGTTTCCTTCACCTTTATTCACAAGAGCCAAGGTGTAGAAACAACCTAATTGTCCATCAGTGGATGAATGCATAAAGAAAATGCGGTGTGCACATACACATACACGTGCACACACAGAATGGAATATTATTTAGCCATAAAAGAAGGAAATCCTGCTATCTGACCACACAGATGGACCTTAAGGGTATTATGCTCAGTAAAATAAACGAGATGGAGAAAGGGAAATACTGTATGATCTCTCTTCTGTGTGGAATCTAAAAAAAAGCCAAACTCGTAGATACAGAGAACAAATTGGTGGACGCCAGAGGCAGGGGGTGGGGGATGGGCAAAAGGGATAAAGGGGGTCAGAAGATACAGACTTCCTGTAGAAGATGAGTAAGGTCTGGGGCCGTACTATACAGCATGGCGGCGACAGTTATTAACCTTGCACATTTGAAAGTTGCTGAGAGAGTAGATCATAACAGTTCTCACCAAAGAAAAAATTTGTAACGATGTGTGGTGACGGGTGTTGACTAAACTAATTCTGGTCACTATTTCCTAATATGTACATATATTTAATCATTATGTTGTGTACCTAAAACTAATGTAATGTTACATGTCGGTTATGTCTCAATTATAAAAACCAACAACCTTCCAGTTTGGATGAAGTCTCTTCTGTCTGTCAGATTCCTCTTCCTAGGAGTCTAGCTTTGTACTGGTATTTGTTTTGCATCCTGGTGTGAAGTCCCACTCGGTTCTTCTCCTGGCCCATATCGTGGGTGAAAACAAGCAAACCGATGGTTCGTGTAGGTGGGATTTGGCTATCAAGGTGAAGGGAGATAGACAGACAGACTCTCCCCTGGGCACTCATAAGCTCCAGCATGCAAAGGACACTTAGCAGGGTGTAGGTGGGGTTGTGGCTGATTTGAGCGGGTCAGGTGAGGCAGGATCCACACCCCAGGCTGAGACAGTGGGCAGAGAGCTCCCTGTGCCATAATTAACTCATTCATTCAACCAACACATGTGACTGATCGCCTCTCGTATGTGTGGGAAGCAAATTCGTGAACAAACATAATGCCCAGACGAGTGCACCATTTGTGAATTTCCCCGGGGCTTCTATATGATTCGTTTCATAGCACGGTGCAGGTCTGCCACCAACTATCCAGAGTTGGATCAAATTTCAAATGAAGGCACCCTGGTCCACCAGACTTCCCTCGCTCTAGATACCAGCCGTGGGCTTGGAGATTTCCTGCACTTCTCACCAACTGGCTAAAACGTTGGTTCCCACTACTTACTCAGGTTCCATCATTCGCTGGAGTGACTCCCAGAACTCAGGGAAATGCTACATGCATGATTTAGTTTCATTGTAAAGGATACATATCAGGACCAGCCAGATGAAGAAATGGATGCCAGGGCAGGAACCTGGGAGGGTCCCGAATGGGAAGCTCTGGTATCTTCAGGATGTGTTATGGTGGTCGGTATATGATTACCCACCAGGGAAGCTCACTCAAGTTTTCGTGTCCACAGTTTTTACTGGGCTTTAGCAATACAGGCAAGATTAACTGAATCTTTGGCCGAGGTGATTGAACACAATCTCCCCTCCCCAGAGGCTGGGCTGACATCACGTGACTCAAATCCCCGGCTTTATAATCACATGGCTGCTCTTTCCAGCATGGCCGGCGCCTATCCTGAAACTGTTTAGGAACCCACCAAGAGTCCCCGTGTTAGCATCAACTCAGGTGTGGTCTGAAGGGCCTGCCATGAATAACAAGACAGTCTTACAACTGCAGAAATTCCAAGGGTGTGGGGGCCCCCTCCCAGCAACCAGGGCCAAAGGCCAGGCAAAATCTTCGTATGTCTTGTATAACACATAACACATGGCCAAGTTAAAAAAAGGTGTTTTAATGTTTATTTATTTTTGAGAGAGAGAGAGAGAGAGAGAGAGAGAGGACACAAGCAGAGGAGGGGCAGAGAGAGAGAGGGAGACACAGGATCGGAAGCAGGCTCCAGGCTCTGAGCTGTCAGCCTGACGCAGGGCTCCAACTCCTGAACCTTGAGATCATGACCTGAGCCGAAGTCAGACGCTTAACCGACTGAACCACCCAGGCGCCCCCACGCGGCCAAGTTTTAATATATTTTCTCTACTGCTTCTTAAACTTGTGTGAAGTCTGATGCATAAGATAGGTATTTTCACTACTGGGTTCTATTAAGCAGTGTATCCTAAATAAATCCAAATAGTTATCCTAAAAGTAAGTGTGTTCATCCAAATAAATTAATTCATTGGTTTATATTTAAACCCTTGGCCACGGGGCTCCCTCTTGAACCCTGATGCTCTAAGTTTCCCTTTATGACACATCACAGGAAGTGAATACTTTTGTCCTATTGTGCCTACAATCACCTCTGCCTTGTCGGGTCACACTGCACTTCAGCTCTGAAAGTCCGGCCACCACACCTTGAATTCCTACTCTCATTTGGCTAATGTAAATAATTGATCAGGGATAGAAAAGTTCTTTTTTTTTTTTTTTTTTAATTTTTTTTTTCAACGTTTATTTATTTTTGGGACAGGGAGAGACAGAGCATGAACGGGGGAGGGGCAGAGAGAGAGGGAGACACAGAATCGGAAGCAGGCTCCAGGCTCCGAGCCATCAGCCCAGAGCCCGACGCGGGGCTCGAACTCCCGGACCGCGAGATCGCGACCTGGCCGAAGTCGGCCGCTCAACAGACTGCGCCACGCAGGCGCCCCAAAGGGATAGGAAAGTTCTGAAGAAGAGCCTCCCCCTCTTGCATCCTCCTGTGGGGAAGAGTGTGGCTGCTGTCCGTCTCCCGGTGACCAGAGGAGGAAGAACCACCTATTCTCAGAGGTGGCCTGAGGCGGGGCTTGTTCTCTCTGGAAGATTCTGGGGCAGCCCAATAAGAGTTAGTTGGGGTGGGAATAGGTGCCTTCTCTGGTTTTGGAGTTCTGGTGTGACGTCTCTGAGGGGCTGGAGGGACACACTCTTTCTGCAGGGCAGGGCACGACCTTGCCTTCCACCCCTCCCCCACCAGCCCCAGATCTGACACAGGACCTTCCCAGAGACACAGCCCGTTTCCCTCTTCCGTGTCCTTCTCCAGCTACAACACAGGCTCACCGGCGACACTCACGATTCTAAAGGTGGCTTCCTGGCCTGGGTGAACCCAACTTGGAAACAGGTGAGCAAGGAGGTAACAGAGCCTAGCCTGGACGGCCTGGAAATCTGAGTCGTAGTTCTTCACCGCTTGCCCAAGGATTTGCTGTCCCTTGGCTGGTGTGCTATTTTCTCCTTGCAAAACTATCCATCCTGCCGCCAAATGTACCCTAAGCCTGCCTCCTGTCAGTGAGACGAGGGATAAGCCGTAACTGGAGGGCCCTGAAAGGGCCAGCCCTGAGTCGGAGACCTCCAGGCTCAAACGGGTTTTGCCTTGGAGATGTGATCAGTCGACCAAGCACTGGCTGGCCTGCTAACCCAGGCAGGAATGCAACTTAGTGCCAGGTGAGGACCACACACGTGGCTTTGTTCACCAAGTCCGGAGCTAGACCCCAGAAGTTCTTGGTTTCCTCCAAACGACTGCACAGAAGCAGTGGCCAAAGCGCTCTTGTGTTTGATGAGTCATCTTGTGTCTGCACGATGCGGCTTAGACATCGTAAGAGTGCTTGTGTAGCTGTTGTGTCTGGCTCGGGCTTTTAAGAGGAGACGAGGTGGCCAAGTACCCAAGCCTCAACGCTAATGGGCACTTTGTAAGCAAAGCTTAACCTCCAAAGCCTCATCTACATTCCTCATCGTCCACTCACCGGCCCTACGAAGAAAGGCCAGACAACCTGGATTTACTTCAGAGAATTTGACCGTGTGTGCATTTAGGAAGGCATGAGGCAGAGTGAAGCCCTTTACTCTTCTCATCCTAAAGCTAGGACTTTATCCTTATAGGGTTAGGCAGGCAAACAGCTCCGGAGTCTCTGAAAAAGTTTTACCAAGTGTGATGCCAGAATCCATGTCTTCAGGGATTTTTAATATATTTATGTGTATTCGTGTATAAAGTTTACGAGTCACTCTACACGCATCATCTTACTTAAGCTTCATAAAACTCTAAGAATCAAACGTGTATTATGACGTCCATTTTACAGATGAAGAAACAGGTCCATAAGAACAAGATCGGGGCGCCTGGGTGGCGCAGTCGGTTAAGCGTCCGACTTCAGCCAGGTCACGATCTCGCAGTCCGTGAGTTCGAGCCCCGCGTCAGGCTCTGGGCTGATGGCTCAGAGCCTGGAGCCTGGTTCCGATTCTGTGTCTCCTTCTCTCTCTCTGCCCCTCCCCTTCTCATGCTCTGTCTCTCTCTGTCAAAAATAAATAAACATTAAAACAAAAAATTAAAGAACAAGATCATCTGCTCAAGCGTGACGTCACCAGGAGTTGCCCGGCATTGAGATAGAGAACCGACATCCTGACTCCAAATCCGCCTCTGTTTCCCTCCAAAGACTCCATTCCATTCCCCTGAGGTGTCTTCACTGAAACCCCTCCCTGCACACTTCGGAGAATCCTCCTAACAACCTGTGTTCCACGATGCTCAGAGGTTGGTTTCCCCGCGGGTGCACGTCCCACGCGCGGCCACGAGATGGCAGGGTCGCCCCGACCACCGAGGGCTCCATTCCTCGCGCCAGTAGGGGGCTGTCGTTCCTCGCTTCACAACGTGAGAAACGCAAACAAAAAAAGAAAAACAAAACAAAACAAGAAAACTTCAGTGTCCACGTTGATGAAATGAGGTGGTGGGAGGTTTGTTTTTCCTTTTCTTGCTTTTCTTTTTCTCTTTTAAGTCAGGCAGGGAGAGTTCAAACAAACAAGTCTCTCCATTTTCACCACTGTGTTTGCTTTTCGAGGCACGAGGTCAGGACTTGGGCCAGCCGCCGAGCCTACATTATTCATCTGTCCAGCGCCAGCCCTGGAACAAATGGGAAGAAATGAAGTAGCTTCAGTCGAAGGGAAACAGTGTTGTTATTGTTGCTGGTGACAGTTCTATTTGCCAACAAACATAAAAACATACTTTGGAACCCGGAATGGGCTTGTCAGAGGGAACTTTTGTCCCATGTTTGGGCTGGGATGCTTCCAGATAGAAATCAGGCGGGGGGGGGGGGGGAGAGCTGTGCCCGGCAGCCACTGACCCGAATGCCAAGCCATCAGCGGCCGGTCTCATCTGGGTGTTATGTGCCCACGGTCTGCGAGGCTCCGTGTCGCCAGCCGGGGTCCCTGCCCCGAATGGGTCTTACGGGAGAGGAGCGAGGGGCACGTAGTCCAGGATGACGGGCTCTCCGCAGGCGGGATCGGCGGGCTTGGATTCTGAGCTTCTGGAAGGCGGTCCTCGCTCTGGGGCTCTGGGATAACGAAAAGTGGTCTTGATTCCACAGGACTTACTTGCTGCCAGGTCCCAATTATCTCGAGACTGTTGGCAGCACCTTTTAAGGTCCTTTTGCCACATGGGCTAGTTGCTCTAGAGAGGAAGCCTCCCTTGCTGTGTCTGCTGGTGAGGGTTCAGGGTGGAAAACTCATGCTCACACCAGTGGGAAACGGCATGATCCCCAAGGCCCATCTGCACGGCCCTCCTCCAGTTATGTAACCCAAGTGGAAGGGCCCGTGTGGAGCCGTCCAGCGCCTCCTTTCCCTCTGGTGAGGGACCTACACTAATGAGGCTTCTGTTTGGAAGGAAGGAGGTATGATGAGTTAGCACAATGGTGAATGTCACGGAAACATGGCAGAAGTGAGGGTGCCCCGAGAATGTTCACCACTCAGTGCTCCACACGGGGCCGTCTCCAAGACCTCAGTTACCACTGAACATTTTAACTAGAGCTGAAAGGTGGAAAGGCATCTTAGACATGATCTCGCCCCAAATGCCCACGTCCAGGTGGGTGGGTTCCCTGTAGAAGGAGTTCTCCAGGTGTCCAGTGAATGTTACCTTATTTGCAAGTGGAGTCACTGCTCGAGGGATGGGAAGCGATTGCCCCCGTCATACACCAAACTGGTGGCCAGCCAGGGACTGGAACCCTCAGGATGGCCCTGCCCCCCTTCCCTTTGCCTCCCCACATTTTAAAACCGTCAGATTGATCTTGAAGCCCTATTTTGATCTACAATTTCCGTCAGGGCTGAGCAGTAATAAGCCAGACACAATCCAAAAGGAGGCCTCTTATTTCCAACCTTCAGGATTATTTCAGTCTCACTTGTAATGGCTCTAGGGCCACAGTGTAACTCCTACCAATGGGTGTTTGTGACAGAGGGAGAGAAGTTATTCAATGGCGCATAGGTTGACAAATTATTTTTCTGTAAAAGTCCAGATAGGGAATATTTTAGGCTTTGTGGGCCATATTGTGTCCATGACAACCCCGTTTTGTGGTTCTCCCATGAAAGCTGCCATAGGGGACACGCAGAAGAGTGAGCGTGGCTGACTCTCGTAGAACTGTCCTTATGGGGAAGCCTTGGTGGCTCATTCGGTCGAGTGTACGACTCTTGATTCTGGCTCAGGTTGTGATCTCACTGTGTTGGGACTGAGCCCCATGTTGGGCTCTGTGCTGGGCATGGAGCCTGCTTGGGATTCTCTCTCTCTCCCTCTCTCTCTGCCCCTGCCCCCCTTCTCAAAATTAAAAAAAATAATAAATAAATGTAAAAAAATAAAAGAACTGTCTTTACAAAACCAGACGGGAGGGCAACCACACTGGGCCCTTGGGCTGAAGTGTGATAGAAGACTTGGTCTCTGACTCAGTCTTCCTTGGCACAGACCAGACCTTCGCAGAGGAGTGTTACTCAGCGTTTCAGAATATGTTGGCGTTCAGTTGTCTCCACCTACCTGAGTCAATAGAAGTCTTAATCTTTTTCAATCGGGGGCTCAGCCGTCCTAAGACGATTTATTTGTGTGGTGCTCTTGTGTTTTCATGTCACACCTCTTCCGCCTGTGACACCGGCAGGGGAAGGTAACAGACCTTAGAGACGAGGAAACCGAGGGGCGAGCAATGGAGACGGAATCTCAGCCTTCTTTGTCCAACGCGTGCCTGAGACTGTGTCATGCCTGGCGCTGTGCTGTGTTATCTCACTTAATCCTCAGAAGATCCTGGGAGATTTTTATGATTATGCCAATTTTATAGATACATACCCAGGAAGATTAAACAACGTGCTCGAGTCTTACCCACAAGCAGCGGTTTCCCCTGTACCACACTGAATGCTTAATTCCTAGGAATTATCACCTGTCCCAGGGCAAGGAGTCCACGTTAACAATCTGTACGCGCTTAGCGCCTGCACACGCCCCAGTGCTCAGTACGTGGCTATCGAGTGTGAAGTGAGTATTTGATGAGACGACAGGAGCTTTTTTTTTTTTAAAGCTCATTTATTTTGAGGGAGAGACAGTGTGAGGGGCAGAGAGAGAGGGAGAGAGAGAGAATCCCAAGAAGGCTCCACACCGTCAGCGCAGAGCCCGACGCGGGGCTCGAACTCATGAACCGTGAGAGCATGACCAGAGCCGAAACCAAGATTTGGACCTTAACTGACTGATCCGCCCAGGCGCCCCAGAGATGACAAGAACTTTTCATTGCAAATTTTTATCTAATGTTCTTGTTAAGAGTAACTGTCTACTCCTGTCGCACACCGGCTTGACCCCCAGGTTGGATTTTGCTTAATTCCGAATGCTTCAGGAGAGAGGGTCGTGGTGGTGGTGCCTTCCCCACACCCTGGGAGGCCAGAGCCCTGGGGCTGCCGTGAGTGCCCTGGGGGTGCTGGGCTATGGGAGGGACTATCTAGAGATAGGACTCTTAGTTCCTCACGAGTTCCCATCTTCCACTCTGAGGGGGCACAGGAAAATCACTGACAGAAACGAAAAGCACCATCTGGAACCTCAAAGACATTTTCTTTCTCAAAATTTGTGGCAAATGGAGCCATTCTCTGACCAACAGGGGTCTTTAGGCCGATGAGCTGCTGTTTGGTGGGTCTGGGATGTGCGGCCCGGGCCACGTGACTTTGAAGAAATGGGTTCTGGGCTCTCAGTTCCAGTTTCGTCCTGGGGCTAGGCCCAGGCAATCCTCAGAGCCCCGTCCAGTTAGAGGAAGAGAGAGCAGCCAGAATGTTCTCCGTGGGGAGGCCCGAGGGGGTAGTGAAATCATCTGCAGCTAAAACTATGACGGGCTCTGTCTGCAGTGAGGACTGGGATTTCCCGCTGACCCAGAGGCCACCCTGGGGGTGGGGGTGGGGAAGACTCTGTAGACCACCTTGCATCTGGACTTTCCTCTTGTGGACCTCAGTTCACCTTCAGAGAGGAATCTAAAGAGCAGAGATTGAGGGAGTTTGGGTCTGGCAGGACCCAGGGAAGACGGACCGTTCTAGAATTTCACCAAAGGAAGGGAAGGGGTAGGTGGGGTGGTGGTGGTAAGTGGCTGATCTCACCCTTCCTCATAACAAGCGGTGACGGTGACAGCAGCACTGTGGCCTGGGGATGGGCTGTGGCTTGGCACACCGCAACATGTTCACGTTGACTGCGCGACTCACCGCGACTGTATCAGTGTCTGTAAAATAAGGACACGAGACGACAATTTCAAATGTATATTTCATGCCAAAGAGATTGGGGCTGAGTGTTTCGAGGGTCGGTGGCTCTTTGGGTGGGGGTGGGGTGGTGAATCTTATTTTTTAAATCTTTAATCAGTTGTGGGCATTTTAGAATAGAAAGGATTAATTCCTATCCCTATTTGATGCTAAATTATCATCCAGCTTTTAATTTACCCTTTACTTTTTTTGTTTTGGACACACAGAACATTTAATGTAGTGAATTCTAGAAATACTTTTGGTCATGACTTTTCTACATGGTTTTTATGCTTTCAGAGTTGTTTCTTTTTTTTTCATGACAAGACCAGGTATTCTATTCATGCATAATTTTTAATGGTTTTATTCTTTACATTTAACTTTTGAAATATTACTTTTTGTTTTTAAAGTTTTAAATTAATACCTACACATTTAAAACATTCAACTAGCATATATGTCTGTGCGTTATATATATATATATATTTTTTTTTTCCATGAAAATTTAAATGCCACATTCGCACCCAATTCCCTTACCTTCTCCAGAGGCAGCTACTGTTAACAATTGATGTGTGAATCCTTCAGGCGTTCTCTAAATTTGCAGCATATGTGTGTATGCACGTGTATGTTGGCATTTAT